ATTTGTTTTCAACTTTCTTATTTTATTTTATTTTTAGCTAGTCTCTGTGGCTTGTTTACACAAAAGCTATTCAGCACTCCCAATTTTCTTTCACCCTGTAAGAACTCTTCATACTAGAGTCTAAAGATTCCTACATTAAACACATCCCTTTTTCCTATAGCAAAACTATGTTATAAATTCTTAGCCAATGTGATCTAAGAAAACCATTTCAGAGAGTCTCAGAGAATTTCTTTTTCTTCTGTGTAAAGATGCAGAGGTAGAGGACAAATATCTGTAGTCATTCATTGTTTTTGTGATTTTTGACACTGTTGAGTGAAAATTTGATGATCAAACTGTTGAAGGCATCCTTTCGTCAGAATAAGCTATGTAATGCTGCAGTAACAAATAACACCTAATCTAACATTAAGCAGCATACAAGGTTGTTGTTTTTTTATGTTACATTTGTTGTGGGACAACTAGAATTTGTGCTTATTTTAGGCAAACAGAAATATGGGCCAACAGAGTAGTGTTATTTTGAACACTGTTTGTTGCTGTGCCAATGGGAAGGAAACTCTGAGGGTCTCGACCTTACATTTAACTGGTCTTGGCCATACACGGCATTTGTCCTTTCTGTTCTGTATTCTCTAGAACAAATTACTCATGTGGAACAACCTGACCATAAAGGCACTAGAAAGTTCAATTCTGCCATGTGCTAGAAAATGATTTGGTAAAACTAAGCGATTATTAATAGGGAAGATACAGTGGACAAACTTAGCATGCCAGAAGAGAAAAATGAGATCACACCATTGAAGCATTGAATCAACTCCAGATAGACTGATTCCATATATTCTATTAGGATAAAAGCTTATTGTTGAAGTAGATCTAGTTGAATATCCTGAAACTTGCATCTAAAAGCCATCTCACAAACACAGCTTCACGTCAATGGAGTTGGCTGCCTTCCTGTTTTGATACGCCACTCTCTCTGAATTTAAATGATCTTTCACTTCAGTTATGATTTCTTGTTTATTTATGTAAGCCAATTTGTATGAAGGCATCTGTTCTCCTTCAAAGAATACACACACTTGACTCCAAATACCTGAATGAGTAATACTAAGGATCTAAACCCATGTGGCCCAGCCCATAGTCTAATATGAGAAACAAATAAGAGATTCTAAAATTCTTCAAGCAATTTATTGGATAGAGGAGAAAAGTAACTTGAGTTTTTCTGGTAAGCATGCCTTTGGATTCCATTAAATGAAAGATATTAAGAGAAAAATGCATCATATCTAAATGTAGACATTACTTTGCTACTCTCTTTTGCCTGTTGTAGTATTAGTAGCTGAATTTCTATATGAGGATTAAGATACTCCTAAGTATTACTACAACATAAATTGAATAGGGTATGTTGCTAATTTTTAAGATGGAGCCAAGTATGTAGGTGTTTAGGGTCCTTAAGGGGAGATAGATGACAGATAGATAGATAGATAGATAGATAGATAGATAGATAGATAGATAATTTAATTATTATCTTATTAACTTACCTCTTATTTGTCTTCAGATTTCCTTCCTTCCTTCCTTCCTTCCTTTCTTTCTTTTTCTTTCTTATCCAGTTTTCTCACCACTACTTATCAAAGAGAATATTTTCCCTAGTGTGTATTCATGTTACCCTTGTCAATAATTAGTTCATATATTTATATCAATATATTATAATGCATATGTACAAAGTAATATATTTATGCTTTATTATAATACATATATACTTTTTCTTTTTGTCCTTACAGAGTCACGTATCTGCCCTCAGCCATTCTTTATTCTCTTTTGAATCTCAGCAGGCTACTCTGTGGAAATGCATCATAATCAACTTACCTCTTATTTGTCTTCAGATTAGAAAGGAATCACTTGCAGGAAACCAGGAGTAGATAGGAGAGCAAGATCCATGCATTAGTCCTTCCTTCGGACATCTCATTGCTGGATTACTACAACTGATGGAACCTCACAGCAGCAATGAGCCTCTCTATGCACACTTCTTGGCTGCCTCCGGCTTTGATGCATGGGTATAGTAAGAACTCCCACCACAATTAGATTTAAGGAACTGTAATATCCTGTGCGGTTTGCTTTATAATCTGTCCACATATTTGTAGATGGTCCCTTTATTAATCTATCTTTCACTTATCTTCATTTGCATGTGCCATATGTTTCCTGCTGAGCCCCTGAATTGTAGGATTAATAAGAGAATTTCCTTGCCTTTATATGTGCAAGTGATTTGCTATTATTCAGACAATAACAAAGATTTTGAAAATTGTCTGAGGAACATGGACATTGTATATTTGGTTCAATTTTCTGAAAAGACAATATTGTAGCTTTAGTTTTCATGCTCACTTGTGTTTATTAAAGGAGCTCTATAAAAGTTCCATTGAGAACCACAAAGGCATTTCTCTTCACTCTTGATATAACCTTGACAAAGCCCAGTGCAATTTCTTATTTCCACCTTGTCCTAGAAACTCTAAATCTTCCTGCCCCTGTCAACAAATCAGTTTTATAAAGATGAGAAATGTGCATTCAAGTTCTTTTAAAGGTTCTGTGTCAAAGAGTTCCACATTTTGCAATCATTTTAGACATCTTTGCAGTTGCAAAAGTCACCATTTGTAAGAGGTTAAAGAATATTTTCAAGCGATAAAAAGCTTTCATCTAAATTATTGAGTCAAAGGTTATTACCTCCATAGATTAAAGTCAAAGCATACAAGATATGGAGGATGTTGGGGTAATTCTACAGCAAGGCCTATGGTACATCACCAAACAGTTTCTAAAGACAATATTTAAACCCCCAACTTTCTAACAAGACCTGTTCCAGACTAACATTCAGAATCTTTCCAGACCATTAAATCAGAACTGGATTCAAGTGAGAAGTATTTCTCTAATTGTTCCATGATTTGCAGTAGATTCATTTATTTTTTAATGTGAACAAGTTGCTGACTCTTCTCTGACCAATTTACATCTGCTGCAAAACTCACTTCTCACCAACTGTTTTTTTCTGCAACGATGTTTCTCCGTCCCAACGCCCTGATCATGCATCAGAATTTAAAGAAATGAAGGTATCCCAAAGCATCAGAGATGTAGGACAAACGGGACCTTATATTTGAAATTAAGTTCATTTGTAGAAAATTGCATGAGCTACATGCTTTGTACATTGAATTCATGGTCTGAAAACTTTTACAAATTTTCTCTATAGTATATTCTTAAGGGTTTGGTGCATAAATTTATGTCTATCTCTTTATAAACACACATATGCATACATATATAAAAATAAAAACATGCGTATAAATAAAATAGGAGGAGAGGAAACAAAAGCTATGAAAGGCTGTGAGCATAGACATTTAAAGATAAACTGAGGAGGCTAGTACCCAATCTCGTTTCCCTGCATGGACTACATTATAATTGCCCAAACTAAGAGCAGCCCCTGATAAATGCAGAGCCTGCTCAAACACAACCAGTTACTCAATGCTGGAACAAACAATGGGCAAACCAAAAAGACAATTGATCATATATATTATTTGCATCACATCTATAAATCCTTTAGAGATGTTATAAATATTTCATTGCAAGTCCTGTATCAAATGTAACAGATAAAGAAGAAAGAACATGGTCACTTTTTCCCCCTGAAGCTGGAGGTCCTGATTTTATGTTCAAAGGAAGTAATTGTTTGCAGTTTTCTTCATCGAGATCTTAGCATATCCCATGTTGCTCTTGCAGGCATGGTGGCAGAGGGCATATTTAATGAAGGTGTCAGTTTTCCAGGGGAAAGAAACAATGAAAAGCCAGCACTGCTCCCAATAGTAGTGCAGTTGAACACGTCTGCTCAGGGAATTCCCATTGTATAAAGAAAGGAAATAAAAGGGGAATGCTTCCTGAGTGTTCAGGAATGTCAGTTGAAGGAGCTGCATGAAAAACTCACTGCTGCTGAATGTTGTATTGAAAACATTTAAATTCTAATGTCTGGAAAAGAAAACGCCATGTTGAGCAATTGCCAAGAGACAGGAGAATCGCTTGAACCAGGGAGGAGAAGGTGGCAGTGAGCTGAGATCACAGCACTACCCTCTGCACTCCAGCCTGGGTGACAGAGTGAGACTCTGTCTCAAAAAAAAAAAAAAAAGAATGAACATATTACGTTTTATACATTACTTATGATTATTACTGAAATCAACTTTATCTTGGGGAATTCACAATGACTCTTGTAAATATTAATAACTAATTAATAGGTTGAAATATGAGCAACAAGTAAAAGAGCCTGCACATTGTCACAGGGAGGTGAGTAGATGGGAGAACCAGGCTGTGAACCAACTTACTTAGCAAATGTTACCTATTATGACCTATGAGTGTTACATAACATGACCTACAAATGTTACATGCTATGACCTACAAATATTACATACCATGACATGAAAATGTCACATGTTATGATCTACAAATATTATATGCTATGACCTACAAATGTTATATACAATAACACACAAGTGTTACACACTATGACCTACAATGTTACATATTATGACATGCAAATGTTACCTACTATGACCTTGGAAAATCTACACACTCATCAACCCCTCTAGTTTGCTCAGTAGTTTGTAAACAGTGAAGAAGAGAATCTGTGAAAATCTCTCCTCAAATGTCTCCAAAGCCATGGGATTTTAGGCAGAAGATATCAATGATTTATTCTCCGAAAATTATTATCTCCCAATAATCGTTATAGTCAGTGAGCCTGTCTCTTTGTGAGTCGGGGCTGTGGGCTGTCTACCCTCAGCCCATTCGGCACAGAAGAAAGACAGCAGTCACAATCAGAGAAATGACTCCCTGCCGTTCATTGATGCACCTATCTATCCATTCATTCTAAGCAGCATTGCTGAGCACTGAATACATTTAGGTTTTGTTTCAAGTAGTGAAGAGAGATGATTGATACACTGGCCCATCCTCAGCAACCTCACAGTTTGTTGGCAAGACAGCTTAAAGCAAAGAAAGTTATGGTACTACACTACATGCATGATGCAATTACTTGCACTATGCTCAGTGTGAAAACAGAGGGGCAGTGGATCCAGGGGAAAGAGCAATGGACCTTGAGAAACACCAGCTGGTTGGGTGATACAAGCCCAAGCTCTGCAGCCAAGTCCCAGCTCCAGCATGGAGCAGCTCTGGGACCTGGGGCAAGTCACCACCCTCTCTGTGCATCAATTTCCTTACTTGTAAAACAGGTATGTAAGCAGTAGTTTACCTCTTTGGGTTAAATGAGGGAATTTGTGTAAAGCAGAGTCTAGTGCATGTTTAGTGGGGGTCAATAGGTGTTATTATGTTGAGTCCTACCTGGGGATTCAGGCAGTAAAAATGGATCGGTGATCCTTAAGGGGGTACAGCAGGGGGTATACTGTGGAGGAGCACATACTTTTATTTTGGTAAAGCAATTCACTACTAAAAATAATTGAATACTGGTATAAAATTAGACCTTATTTTTCATATGCAAACTAAATAAAGCAGACTCTAAACAAGGGTTAGTAAATTTTGCTGTAGAGTTGAATAGCAAATAATTTAAGTTTCTTGGGTTATACAGCTTCTTCTTCTTCTTTGTCGTCGTCATCGTCGTCGTCGTCATCTTCTTCTTTCCTTCTTCTTCTTCCTCTTCTTCTCCTTCTCCTCCTCCTTCTCATCTTCCTCCTCTGCCTCCTTCCTCCTCCTCTTTCTCTCCTTCTTTTTCTCCGCCTCCTCTTTCTTTTCCTCCTCTTCCTCTCCTCCTCCCCTTCTTTCTCCTCCCGTTTCTTCTCCTATACAAGTTTTTAAAAATGTAAAACTGATTATTAGTTCAAAGGCCGAACAAAAACAGGCTATCAGCTGGATTTGACCTCCAAACTGAATTCGCTTGTGGGCAGAGTTTGCTGATCCCTTTTCCATATAGTATTAAAGTCTGGTGGCTATCTGAAGATAGAGTAACAATTCTCAGTGAAGAGAGCTTGGAAATAGGGGAAATCACTACCCTAGGGTATCTAGGGGAGGCAGAGCAGAATCTCAAGGTATGAGAATGGTCATTTTGTTTATTCACTAAAGAATGAAAGATACTGTTTTTTGAAAATGAGAAATGCCATCCTTAAAACCATTGGGATCAAGAAAGTTCTTAATGCAAAGGATGAAGATTTCAGGCATCGCTGCTCAACAAAGGACCCAAGTTTGGGACCAGAGGAATCTATACATGAGGATGAGGTTGATCTACAAGCCAGGGCTTTCAGTCCTGAGGGGAAATGGACACATGGCCACTTCATTCTGCCTCAAGCAAAGATGTCCAGGTAATATGAGGTTAAGCTTTGCTAAAACTCCAGGATGCATCTTTGGTTTCCTGTGTGACAGGACGAAGAATCTTCGGACTGCACCTGAATGGAGAGAAGCTGTTTGTAAGTAATGAGGGCACCCCTCCCACCACCATGTTGAATTCAAATAAATCACTGTCTGTGCTTGTCTTTGTTAAGTGGTGGCACTTGAGAAACAACAGTGCAGAATCAGAAGACCATGCCTACTCAACAATGGCATCACAGAAAACATGCCAGAAAGGAGGAGAGACTAGGCATGCCTGCATCTGGCTGCCTTTGGCTTTCTTCATAACTCTTGGAGGTGGCATAGACCAAAGGGGCCCTTGGATGTTGCCTGTGAAATGCAATAACTGTTATTCATAAAATGACATCAGTGATTGGCACCAATGTTAAAATAAAAAACATAAATTTGACATATGCACAATACCCACTAACATAATCTGCCCGAGCCCAGAAAGATTCTCTTTGCTTTCTTTTTTGTGGTCGAACTAATTGTTCTCAACATCAGTTGTACAATAAAATCAACTCAGGACATTTAAAATAGTACTGTTTCCTAGAGTCCACCCTGAGAGACACTAATTCAATGTTCTAGACATCAGTACCTTTTCAAAAGCCTCTATAAAACCAGATGCTGAGAAGGGTATGAAAAAGGGAAATTGGAGAGAGGTTGATGAAAGGGTAGAATACATAGAAGAAGCAAGGCCCAGTGTTTGATAGGTCAGTAGCATAACCATAGCTAATAATAATTTATTCTATATCTCAAAATAGCTAAAAGAGAAGAATTGGAATGTTTCTGACACAAAGAAAATATACATATTTGAAGTTACGGATATCCCAGTTACCCTGATTTCACTATTACACATAGTATCCATGTATAAAAATATTACATGTATTTCAAAAATATGTACAATAGCTGAGTACAATGGCTCACTATAATTTCTATAATCCCAGCACTTTGGGAGGCCAAGATGAGAGAACTGCCTAAGCCCAGGAGTTGAGGCTGCAGTGAGTTGGGACTGTGCCAATGCATTCCAACATGGAAGACAGAACAAGACTCTCTGTGAAAGAAATAAAGAAATTAAAAGAGAAAGAAAGAAAGTAACAGAGAAAGAAAGAAAGAAAGAAAGAAAGAAAGAAAGAAAGAAAGAAAGAAAGAAAGAAAGGAAAGAAAGAAAGAAAGAAACAAAGAAAGAAAGAAGGAAAGAAAGAAAGAAAGAAAGAAAGAAAGAAAGAAAAGAAAGAAAGAAAGAAAGAAAGAAAGAAAGAAAGAAAGAAAGAAAGAAAGAAAGAAAGAAAGAAAAAGAAAGGAAGGAAGGAAGGAAGGAAGAGAAAGAAAGGAGGGAGGGAAGGAGGGAGGGAGGGAAAGAAGGAAGGAAAGAAAGAAGGAAGGAGAAAGGGAAGGGAAAGAAGAAAAAATGTACAAATGTATATCATAAGAAAGACCTTATTTTAAAAACTCTACTGAAAATTCATTGACCAGAAATAGTCACATGACCTCACCCAGCTGGCACCAGCAATCCTCAGCCCATGAGGTGAAGAGTCCATGTGTTCGGTGAACAGCACCCATGAGAGCAATGCTATCCTGTGCACAAGCAGAAGAAAGAGGAATCTATGAAAGAGAGAGTTCAGGGAAGGGGGAGTTAGGAAGCAAACAGGCTGCTATCATGCAGTGCAAGTATGGTATAAACTCTATTATTCGCTGAGTGGGAACCACACAACATCCGCTTGCATAGACGTAGGACCAGCAGGCATCTGAGTCGTTTCTATTGCTTCTTTGGAAATGCCTTTGCTTCTAACTCAGAAACAGGCCTACACCTCTTTAATTACACATGTGGAAATATGTTCCACAGAGAAGAGGTAGATTGTTTTACTGCTTCTTCCTAACTAGTTGACCCAGCCAATGCCTGCAGAGGCTTCGGTAGTTTTCACGTGTTGACGGCATCCACAAAGCTGGGGGCTCACTCATCAGGTTCTCTGGAAGGGATCCCTTCAAGTGGACCTGCTAATCTGCATAAACGTTCATCTTAAGGCATGCATACTAAGCTCACCCCATCTAATATGTCTCCTTGCATTTGGACTAACGTGCATTGGAGTTAAAACATCAGAAAACACTTAGACTTATTTCCAAAGATGTGTGAGTCTCTGAGGTGCAGGACAGAAATTTGTTTTTTGTTTTGTTTTGTTTATAACCACTTTATCCAGACAGAAGGCTAGGATGGTTTGTAGCCTCCAGTGTTATTCTCTTTTCATTTAGTAAATGGCGGCTATAGGACAATGGGTACTTTTAAATTGTGTGCATATATTTCTCGGAATGGCTGCATTGCATTCATTGCCCCCAGAGATGCTAAAGCCTCATGCTGGAATAGAGATCCAAGATTCATCAAAACTGGCCACCAGGCACAGGCTAAGATGAAATAAAGTAAAAAATCCTGAAGCACCTTGGGAGTCATTTTCAAAAATATAAATGAAGTAACCAGTATCAGTTAGAATAGCTGTGAGAAACAGTTTATTCAAATGAGTGACTAAAGAGATTTTAGTGAAGGGACAATTAACAATGATCCTGTTAGTGTAACCGGAATAAAAACAAGATTGGGAAGCACCAAGGAGAAGCCCCTACTATTCTTTGTGCCGAGGTGGGAAATGGAAGACAGCTGGTTCTAGAACCTGGAGAAATCCAGGAGACAGCCTCCTTCATGGACAAAGTTGTGTCCTCATGTTGAGGAGCATAAACAGCAATGCTGGGCAGCAACACCACTGGGACAGAGTCAGGAGGATCACACTCGGAGCTCTCTCCTGCCACCCTCTGACCTTCTGGGAGTTTCTCCCATGGTCTGATCACAACTGGCAGCAAACTGCAGCCCTCCATCTCCCAGGGTGCAGAGCAGGATGTAGGATTAACAAAAATACATCTTTGAGGGGCCAGCAGAAAATATCCAGGCATAAATCAAAGACCAACATACTTGTTTTAGAAAACAGAAGCCTCTGATGATGAGTGTTATTGAACTTTTGTTCATAATTGTGGAAAGCACTATGGTGATTTCTCAAAGAACTAAAAACAGAACTACCATTCGACCCAGCAATCCAATTATTGGGTAGTAAGGAATATAAATTGTTCTACCATAAAGAAACATACACACGTAGGTTCACTGAAGTATAATTCACAATAGCAAAGACATGGAATCAACCTCAATGCCCATCAACAATAGACTAGATAAAGAAAACATGGTACATATATACCATGGAATATTATGCAGCAGTAAAAAAAAAAATGAGATCATCTCCTTTGCAGGAACATGGACGGAGCGGGAGGCCATTATCCTCAGCAAAAGAACGCAGAAACAGAAAAACAAATACTGCATGTTCTCACTTACACATGGGAGCTAAATAATGAGAACCAAAAGACACAAAGCGGGGAACAGCCAACACTGGGACCTACTTAAAGGAGGAAGATGGAAGGAGAGAGAGGATCAAGAAAAATAACTATTGGCTACCATGCTTATTACCTGAGAGATGAAATGGTCTGTACCCCAAACCCCTATGACATGAGTTTGCCTGTATTAACAAACCTGCATGTGTACCCGTGAACCTAAAATCAAAGTTTAAAACAAACAAACAAAAAGAAAACAAATGCATTTCTATGACAAGCTGCAAATTTCTGATCTCTTCTTTTACTCATACTGAATCTTTTCAGCTTCTACTGGGCAGTGAGCCTGCAAATATAACAAGAGAAAATGAGTGGGAATGAGTCAGCCAGGAAAAAGGAGGTAAGCAGGGTCTGCTAGAAACATCACTAAATGCATGCTAATGCGTGGTATGAGGGTCTTAACTTGTGGATCCAGGGAATTTGTTCCACAGGCAGATTAGCATGAGAGGCCATTGAATCTGGTGTTTTTGCAAGTTTAGTAGTTTAGAGATAGAATTACACTGTTTTACTACATTGATTATTTCATAGTTAACTTCTTAATAAGGGGAAATGCCAACCTACGGAGTGTCAGTGACGACACACTCGTTGTAATGCCTCACTGCTGAGAATTTGAAAAAGGAGGTGAAGGAAGAAAAGAACACGATCCATTCCTGTTAAGAGCTCCAGTTGGTGTGAAGGCAGTGAGTGTGGTGCTAGTGAGGGGAGCCAGGTAGGTCACCACAGGGTGACCTGTGGACAGACCTCAGGTCAGGGCTGAAGACATATGTGCTTTCAGAAGTCAGATGGGTGGATGAACTGGAAAGGATTAAGGCAACAGGGAATGGTGGGAGTTTTCTTCAACTGGAGAATTTTACCCTGTCTAAAAATCGTATAAACCCATATATTTTCTTCAAATCTTGCACAGCCTAATAAATATTTTCAGAGAAAATTTAGCAGCCAGTATTGATTTTTATGTTGCTGTGATTGTCACTGTTGTTGTTTCTTCATCTTAGAGACATCAAGGGCATAGACAAAATCATAGAGAAGCAATGACCTTCTAATCCTCAATGGAGTTAAATTCCCCCAAATCCTCAGGGACTGGAACTCAGCTGAAGCTTCAGGAGCTCATAACCTCCTAAGATGTAAATGATACAGATGTCATCACTAACGTGAGGGAGAGCTCAGCTCAGCGGAACCCAGCGTATGAGACAACAGGAAACTACATCACAGAGCACGAGGGCACCGTGTCCCCCCACAACAGTGGGTCGGCGATGGACAACGCGGTGCAGACTGAGGGGTCAGTGCGTGCTTCATGGAAGAGGTGGGACATGAGATAGAAAAGGATGTTGGAGCTGAGAGGAGGCTGCTCCTCGGGCTCTAGATCTAGGTTTTCAACGTCCTAAAGGACATTTCAAAAGTAACAGACCTCAGGGGGGCCTGATTTCTCTCACGAAGCTCTTCTTACTTTAGGAAATCTAGTTGTGGTTATCAGTAACCGCCTTCCCAGGATCAAGGACCAAAAGCATTCTAGTCGTTTGACATATTTTCCTCCCTTTCTTGTTCCACAGGTAATGGATCTTTAAAACTTGTTAATTCAGGTTATTATCAAAAAGCCAAAAACTAGGAAGCACCAGGCAGCAAAGATGTGGAGGAAAAAAACACTTGTGTGCTGTGGGTGAAAATGCAAATTAGCAGAGTTATTAAGGATAATGGTATGGCGGTTTTCTGAAAAACTAGAAATAGAATTATCATGTAGTCCAACAATACTACATCTGGGTATTTACCCAAATGATTCGACATGAGTTTATCAATGAGATCTCTGTACTTCCACAATCATTGTAGCTCTATCCCAATATCATAGTTTTGGGATGGAACCCAAAACGACTGCAAGGTGCCCCGTCCTCACCAACGTCTCTTAGAGATAGAATTATACTGTTTCACTACATTGATTATTTCATAGTTAACTTCTTAGTTAGGGGGAGTGCCGACCTGTGGCTTCCACTTTCTTGTGTCAATCCATCCCATTGTTTAAAGAAATTCAATAGGTTTTTGGGGAACATTTAGCAGACTCGCTTTGAGGCAGACTCGCTTTGCGTGAGCTTGAGGCAGACTCACTTTGCTTGAGTGTGTCCTTGTGAAATGGCCTGAGGGTCCCTGGACACCCTGTGCAGTGGCATGGTCCTCCTTCATGCCCTTCTTTCCATAGGTCGCTCTCGAGCCAGACAGCGGATTTAAAGCTGAGCTGAACCTCATGCTGGCTGGGTTTCCTTTGGTGAGTTTACTTAACCAGTTTTAGTCTCAAGTTCTTCATCTGATAAGTGGGGATAATATTAATACTGATATCACAGGGTCGCTATGGAGCTAATAAGACAATGCAAAATTCCAAGCACATAAGGTGTAAGCACACATGTCAGTGAGTGGCATTTTGTTTCTGTTATTTATTATTATCATTATTATTATTATTTTAAGACAGTCTCCCTCTGTCTCCGAGGCTTGAGTGCAATGGCACGATCTCGGCTCACTGCAACCTCCGCCTCCTGGGTTCAAGCAATTCTTTGCCTTAGCCTCCTGAGTAGCTGGGATTACAGGAGCCTGCCACCATGCCTGGCTAATTTTTGTGTTTTTAGTAGAGATGGGGTTTCACCATCTTGGCTAGGCTGGTCTTGAACTCCTGACCTTGTGATCCACCCACCTCGGCCTCCCAAAGTGTTGGGATTACAGGCATCTCTAGACCAGGGAAGAAATATGTTCTAGTTCCCCTGTTAGAGCCACTGCCTTTCTCAATATCACAAGGGTAGGAGACAGAAAGAAGGGATGGGCAGGGTGGGGAAAAGAGCAACTTGGAGACCTGGTTTTGGGTCTCAGATAGGTCTGGATTTGAGCTCAATTTCTGTTACTTATTAGTTTTGAATATTGGGCCTGTGAGCTTAACATTCCTCTTCTGTAAAGTGGGGATAGTCATAGCATCTACCTCAGTGCAATGCCATGAGGGTTCAATAATATGACACATACATCAGAATATTGAATAATGCTGTGTGAATAATATATGTTCCAGGGCCTGACTCTAGAACTTCCAATCAGAATCTTTGGGGTAGTCCAGAAGTGCACGTTTTTAATGAGTTCTCCTCCACGTAAAGTTCACATCAGTCCTGAAGAGATTCTGCAGCCATAAAGGTGGATGTTTCCATGAGTGTTCGGGACACCAACTCATCCTCATTAGACATTAGATCCATGCTGGGAATCCTCAGGCCAGCAATTTGAACAAGCTCCAGATCCACCGAAGCTGCAGTCAGAAGAACAAGACACAGATAAGGGGTGACAAGAACAAGAAAGCTTCTGAGAGTGCAGGTTTTTTTTCATCCAATTCAATGCTCTGGAGAAAATTAATCAGGCCAATCAATCACAGGTGGACTCTTTCTTCACTAATTGCATCCTGACTCAAAGTCCTTTCTCCTGAAATGTCTTTCCGTTTTCTACTTGCCTTCAAGTTTTCATCTTTAGCATTGATTTTCAGAATTCAAATATAATTTGTTTAGCTTAAAAACAAAAAATGAAAACCCGTTGTTCTTCTCTGAGGTTTCTGGATTAATAGTTTGATTCTTTTTGGAAAATTCTCAGTTATTCCTTCTTTGAATAATTTTTCCCCTCCATGTTTTTTCCTTCTTCTTTTGGGTTTCCCATTATATGAATATCAGACTGAAATCACCCCACAGGATATGAAAAGTAGGTTCTATGTCTTCATTCTCTTTTCTATCTGTGGTTCAGTTTTGGTAAATTTTACTTCAACTAGACAAACTACTTTAAATTCCTTTTAATCATTATTTTAAACATTTAGTATTTATATTTTATTTAGACAAACCATATTCAAACTACTGAAAATCAAAGATAAAGATAAAAACTTGAAGTCAGGTGATGGTGATGCAAATTTAATATCTCACTTGGATGTGGCTACTAATATCAAAAGAACCACCTTTAGCCTCTTCACTCTTGTTACTTGATCAGCTGGATTTCTAGCTCTCTCTAGTAATAATATATATTGTAACTGAGCTATAGTATACATATTACATATACTGTGTATATATATATTATAGCTGAGCTATAGTATACATATTACATACACATATGTAATAGTATACATATTACATATACATGTGTGTAATACGTATTACCTATATTACACATATGTAATATGCAAGTGTACATGCATATGTAATATGTGTATGTAATATGTATACATATACACAACATGTGCAATGGTATATGTATTACATATATTGTAATGCAATATAATTGTAATACTATTGCATACATATTACATACATTATATATCTTTCTATCTATATGTTTACCTATATCTATCTCTCTATTAAGAAAGTCGGTTTTAGGTTCCTGTGATTTATCCTCATTATTTCACTTAAATTCCACAATACAAATTTCCAGTTTTACTGATGAAACTAAAATGTAGACCAATTCTGACTTGCCTAAGGTCATTACACTATTAGATAACAAAAATAAAATAAGAACCCATACAAAATAACCCCAAAGTCCACATAATTTTGAATTTTCAGGATTGCACTTTCTATCAAATAAAGTACACTCATTCTTCAGAATCACAGATTGCTGCAAATGGATACTCTGACTTCCAGAGACTTGATGACATTGTTTCCTCTCTTCTCCCATAATTTTATGTGTGATACGTGGATGCTGGCAGCTTCTCCAAATAAGGCATGAATCAAGAATGTACTCTCAACATGAAATAGCAAACCAAAGACTAATTATATCTACTTAAGTCTATCATAAAAATGCACACCAGCTTGCCTAATTATTTCAGCTGCCAAGAACACCAACCACCAAAGTAGCATGACAGATGGATCTCACCAAAGCCTTGATATGATCTGAGGACAAGAAACTCAGGGAAAATGTGTTGATCCGTCATATAAGAGGCAAAGGTATCCTCCTGTACTGGTGTTTGTTGGTAAATGTTGACACCCATTATATGTTAATAATCATGTTTTAGTTTCTCTTTTTTGTTTCATTTTCTATGTACCAAATTGAATAATACTCAGATGAAGTTAGATTATAATTTCTTTTCAGCTCAATAAAGGTAAGCAAATATATAGCCAGGGCTATTTTAACTGGAAAAAAAAAGAAACCTACTACTAACAGTGTCTTACAAGAAAGGTGTTTAATTTTTTATGTTATAAAAAACATGGAGGCACATTTTATGTATGTCAGCAGTCAAATGGTGACAGGACCTTGGATAAACATCTGGGTTCTCTAGGATCCCACCTAATGTTTCAAGAAGATTGTAACTATATTCTCCTATAGCAGCATCTAAAGAAGAGAAGATGAAGCTAATTCTCATATCTATATTTTCTTAAATGAATAATCTTAACCCAAAACACTGCTAGATAAATTCCTTTTGCTCCTCATTGGCTGGATTGGGTCATATGGTAACCTATAGCTACAGAGAGGATGAGAGAGTGAGTATCTGACACAGTGATTGGAATAAACCTAACCATGATCTAGTGCTGGAGAGGTGGCACTTAGACAGAGTGATGATGCCTAAACTTCAGAAGTACAGTTATCTGGCTCCTCTAAGACCTGGACTAACTGTACATCATTGACAAGCCAAACATCTGATCAAGAATCACATTGGAAGACTTCTCATCAGTGTTGTCCTTGTAAACAAACGACCCCTATCTACCTTTACATTCCTTTTCTTCCTTGAACTTAAAAGCCTATAAAAACAAACAAACAAAAAAACAAGCAAAAGTATAGTATTAGTGTGTTTCCACACTGCTTATAAAGATATACCTGAGAATGGGTAATTTATGCAGGAAAGAAGTTTAATGGACTCACAGTTCTACATGGCTGGGGAGGCCTCACAATCATGGTGGAAGGCAAGGAGGAGCAAGTCACGTCTTACATGGATGGCAGCAGGCAAAGAGAGAGCTTGTGCAGGGAAACTCCTCCTTATAAAACTGTTAGATCTCATGAGACTTATTCACTATCACAGGAAAATTGCAGGAAAGCCCCACCCCCATGATTCAGTTACCTCCCACCAGGTCTCCCCGACAGCATATAAGAATTGTGGGAGCTACAATTTAAGATGAGATGTGGGTGGGCACACAGTCAGACCATATCATTCCTTCCCTGGCCCTCCAAATTTCATGTCTTCACATTTCAAAACCAACCATGCCTTCCCAACTGTCCCCCAAAGTCTTAACTCATTTCAGCATTAACTCAAAAGTCCACAGTCCAGTGTTTCATCTGAGGCAAGGTAAGTACCTTCTGCATATGATCCTATAAAATCAAAAGCAAGTTAGTTACTTACTAGATACAGTGGGGGTACAGGCAATGGGTACATACAGCCATTCTGAATGGGAAAAATTGGCCAAAACAAAGGGGCTACAGGCCCCACGCAAGTCTGAAATACAGCGGGGAAGGAAAACTTTAAAGCTCCAAAATGTTCTCCTTTGACTTCATGTCTCACAATCAGGTCACACTGATACAAAATGTGGGTTCCCATGGACTTGGGCAACTCCACCCCTGTGGCTTTGCAGGGTAAAGCCTCCCTCCCAACTTCTTTCACAGGCTGGTGTTGAGTGTCTGTGGATTTTCAAGATACATTGTGCAAGATGTTGGTGAATCTAACATTCTGGGGTCTGAAGGACAGTGGCCCTCTTATCACAGCCCACTAGGCAGTGCCCCAGTAGGGACTCTGTGTGGGAGCTCCGACTCCATGTTTTCCTTCTTCACTGCCCTAGCAGAGGTTCTCCATGAAGGGCCCACCCCTGCAGCAAACTTCTCCCTGGGTGGGCATCCAGGCATTTCCATACATCCTCTGAAATCTAGGCGGAGGTTCCCAAACCCCAGTTCTTGACTTCTGTGCACTTGCAGGCTCAACACCATATGGAAGCTACCAAGGCTTGGGTCTTGCATCATCTGAAGCCATGGTTTTAGCTCTATACTGGCCCCTTTCAGCCATGGCTAGAGTGACTGGGATGCAGTCCACCAAGTCCCTAGGCTGCACACAGCAAGGGGACTTTGGGCCCCGCCCATGAAACCATTTTTAGCTCATAGGCCTCCAGGCCTGTGATGGGAGGGGCTGCCTAGAAGACCTCTGACATGCCCTGAAAACATTGTCCTCATTGTCTTGGGGATTAACATTTGGCTCCTCATTACTTATGCAAATTTCTGGAGCCAGCTTGAATTTATTCTCAGAAAATAGGTTTTTCTTTTCTAGCAGATCATCAGGCTGCAAATTTTTTCAAACTTTTATGCTCTGCTTCCCTTATAAAACTGAATCCCTTTAACAGCACTCAAGTCGCAGCTTGAATGCTTTGCTGCTTTGAAATTTCTTCTGCCAGATACCCTAAATCATCTGTCTCAAGTTCAAAGTTCACAAATCTCTAGGGCAGGGGCAAAATGCTGCCAGTCTCTTTGCTAAAATATAACAAGAGTCACTTTTACTCCAGTTCCCAACAAGATCCTCATTTCCATCTGAGACCACCTCAGACTGGACTTTATTGTCCATATCATTATCAGTATTTTGGGAAAAGACATTCAACAAGTCTCTAGGAAGTCCAAACTTTCCAATATTTTCCTGTATTCTTCTGAGCCCTCCAAACTGTTTTAACTCCTGCCTGTTACCCATTTCCAAAGTCACTTCCACATTTTCAGGTATCTTTACAGCAGCACCCCACTCTACCAGTACCAATTTACTGTATTAGTCCATTTTCACATTGTTAATAAAGACATACCCATGACTGAGTAATTTATACAGGAAAGAGGAGTAATGGACTCACAGTTCCACATGGCTGCATGGCTGGAGAGGCCTCATAATCATGGTGGAAGGCAAGGAGGAGCAAGTCATGTCCTCCATGGATTGCAGCAGGCAAAAAGAGAGCTTGTGCAGGGAAACTCCCCCTTATAAAACCATCAGATCTCATGAGATGTCTTCACTATCACAAGAATAGCATGGGAAAGACCCACCCCCATGATTCAATTACCTCCCACTGGATCTCTCCCACAACACATGGGAATTGTGGGAGCTACAATTCAACATGAGATGTGGGTGGGGACACAGCCAAACCATATCAAGTATCCAGCCTAGTGTTCCTCCCTCCTTTACCCTACCATATTCTTGAGCATGCAAACAAGCTATATTTATTTGGGCTACAGAGAAACGTTTCTGATTGGAACAATGGAGTGGTACAGAAAAAACAAGCTGTATGCTTCACACATTTGCCAGTTAGGTTTACTTAAATATCCAAAAATGTGTTAAATTTTAACATTAGTGTTTTTTCAGTGTAGTTCCCTGATTAACAGCATAGCCATTACCTGGGTCCATACTAGAAATGTGAATCGTTGGGCTCTACCCCAGATCTACAGAATCAAAAGTGCCATGGAACACACCAATTAGCATTTCACCAAGCTCTCCAGGTGATTCTGATACATGCTGAAGTTTAACAGCCAATGCTTTAGAGTATGAGTTTGCACATTTTCTTTGAAAAACCAGGTAGATTGTGGAAAGCAGTATGATGATCCCTCAAAGAGCTAAAAGCAGAACTACCATTTGACCTAGCAATCCCATTACTGGATGTATATCTAGAGGAATATAAATCATTCTGTTATAAAGACACATGCATGCATATGTTCATTACAGCACTATTCACAATAGCAAAGACACAGAATCAACTTAAATGTCCATCAATGATTGCATAAAGAAAATGTGGTACATATACATGGAATACTATGCAACCATAACAAAAAATGAAATTTTTTTTTGCAGGAACATGGATGGAGCTGGAGGCTATTATCCTTAGCAAACTAACACAGGAACAGAAAACCATATGTTTTCACTTACAAGTGGGAGCCAAGTGATAAGAACTTATGAACACAGAGAAGGAAACAACACACACTGGGGTTGATTTGAGGGTGGAGGTTGGGAGGAGGGAGGGGGGCAGAAAAGATAACTATTGGGTACTGTGCTTAATACCTGGGTGATGAAGTAATCTGTACAACACCTCCTGACACAAGTTCACCTGTGTAAAAAACTTTCACATGTATCCCTGAACCTAAAATAAAAGTTAAAAAAAAGAAGCACCAGTAAATATTTCTGGCTTCAGGAGCAATGTATCTCTGTTGCAACAACTTAATTCTGCCTTCTCAGTAAAGAGTGGACATAGGCAGTGTATACAGAACATGGCTGTGTCTCAATAAAACATTTACAAAGAGCAGGTATTTGCAAGAGCAGGTAGCCAGTCTTGATTGGGCCCACAGCCTCCTGTTTTCTGACCTCTGCTTTAGAGGTAAGCTTCCATCAGAGAGGTTGCATCATCATTGAATGGTTACTTGATTGTCTTTCCAATAGACTATGGGTTCCTTGAGGGAAAGGATTATATTTACTTTTGTTTATTTGTTTCTACAGCATCAGTAATAAGCATGGTTCAGAGCTGACACATAATAAACTCTTATTTCACAAGATGCTGAGGAGAGGAGACAAACCTCAAATATTATAAAGGCAAAATGAGGTACCAGAAGTAGCCTGTAGCTTCTTTAAAATTTTGCCTGAAGTAAGCCCTCAATTGAAAAGAGGATTGCAATGTTTTCTGCATTGTCCTTAACATTTCTACTCTTCGACCTGAAATAGCAAGAATTGAGTGAAATATGAAGAGATAATGTGCGAAACAAATTTGAATATTCTGCTTCAGATTTTTCAGGGGAGATCATGGTGCTGCTCCGTTTACAGCTCTGTCTCTGAGGGTTTTGCAGACCATGAAATTGGAGTTCTGCTCCTTTTACAATGGAGACATTCAAAGGAAAGACACAACCTTTAGTCTCTAGCCATAGTGTAAAATTAGGATTAAGAAACCATGGAGTTCATTTGGTTGAAAAATTGAGGAAGACACAGTCTGTAGTCTTCAAATCAATAGTTATTTGGGAAATAAAAGCACAATATTGTTGCTGAGAAACCATCTCTTCACCGTGGACCACATTTAACTGAGATGCCAGATGGGGCCATAATTGGGAGAGAGAATCTTATGAGGCTACATTAATTTAATATGATTGACACCCAAGTCATAACTCGACCTTTACACCATTATTGGATAGGAATGTTTTCCACTCTATACCACATTTAGTATATTTAAAGAGGAAGGATACCTCTCACCATCTCCTAGTCATTGTAGAAGAAAAAGTTTTGTGAAATATTTCATGTTGCACTTCCCTCCAGGTCTGTTTTCAGACATAGTGAGGAGCCTGGAGTTTTCCAGAAGTTTTCCAAGCTGTTGAGAAATGGCACCAAGCAGCAAACCCACAGAGGGAAGAGGGAGAGTCAATTAGAGTTCCCAGGAAGGTATGAGAATATGCCACAGGGATATGGAAGCAAACATAGTTATACAATTGGAAGCAAAATTCAATTTTAAAGTGAAGAAAGTTATATAGTTTGGCTTTGCATCCCCACCCAATTCTCATGGAGGTGATTGGATCATGTGGGCAGGTTTCCCATGCTGTTCTTGTAATAGTGAGTTCTCACGAGAGCCTGCTGTTTGTTAAGTGTCTGGCATTACTCCTGCTCTCTCTTTCTCTCTCTCTCTCTCTCTCTCTCTCTCCTGATGCATGTAAGACATGCCTTGCTTCCCCTTCACCTTCCGTCATGATTGTAAGTTTCCTGAGGCCTCCCAAGCCATGCAGAATTGTGAGTC